GTATCGAACGGTTCAATATCGATACGAATATTGTTGCACCCCTAATTAATATAACATTTTTTTTAAACATAATTTCAACAGTCTCAGTGTTTCTACAAGACAAATGTGTAAAATTACAGAAAAAGTTCTGGTGGCTCATTGCCCAGTGTTACGGCCCTAGCAGGGCCTCCTCCTGAAGGTGCCTGTGTGGGCGTGTCCCACCACCTCTTCTGCCTGAGGTGCCACCTTTCCCTGTTACACAGCTGACTCACATCAGTAATTAAAAGTATTTAAGCCCAGGGAAAGGTGAGCTCTGGGCCAGAGTGCCAGTAGTGTGGTTACAGCTTGTGAGCTGAGTGGTCGTTGTGTTTGCAGCTAGTGAGCTGTGTTTTTGGTGGTTTTCAGTGAGCTGCTCTTTCTTTTTGGCTTACGTTTTACTTTATTGACCAACGCCTGAGTTCTGTTTGTTTTCTTAAATGGTGATAGCGGCTTGTCCGTCTCTTTTAGTTAGTATAAATTGAAACTTTAATAAAACTTTAATTTAACCCTTTTGCCTCCCTTGACTCCTTTTTCTGACCCGGTCACTTTTTGTTACTTCCCCCTCCCCGCTTAGACCCCTCAGGGGAACGTAACACCAGACTGCCCCATATTTATAAAAACGAGTATCAGTTACTTGCTTAAAATTCTTTTTTTTTTTTTTTTTTACTGAAATTTCTATAGCAGACAATGCTAAACGGGAACTTTTCTATAATTGTTTATTTTTTTTAACTACTTTTGTGTGGCTAAAACACAAAAGTAGTCACTAAAACTTATAAATATACAGTTAAAAGTTCAAAAATATGCATCTTCCCCCAGACCCTTTGGGCCACCCCTGACAGTCCTCATTTATAAGGTGCTTTACAAACCCAAACAGTATAGCTAACGGGTGGATTTTCCCAGAAACAATGACTGCTTAAAGACAGACAGTGTGAAAGTGGATAGTACATCCTTGGTTTCTTAACATCATTGCTGCAGCCGGGGGTACAAAAGTGGCCTTAGAAGCACCTTAGACAGCTTTCTTAGGTTTAACCCCCTTGTTTTCCAGTGAGTTATCAGTTCTGTTACATAAACAAATGTAAGTCTATGTTTATGACACTATATTGCCGAAGATATTCACTCAATCAGGTATTCATCCAATCGCTTTCATAGCCAGATGGCAAATGGTAAATGGACTGGTTCTTATATAGGGTTTTTCTACTCTGAGCACTCTACGTGCTTTACAAGCCATTTTATTTTTTACTCTATGCTGTTTCCAAGTGCTTACTACTAGCATTCATACAATCCATTGGAGATGGATGCATTCACCAATGCAATGGGGCAACATGGGGTTGCAATGCAGACTGGGATCAAACCTCCAACCTTCCAGTTAGTAGATGACCCACTCTACCACCTGAGGTACATCTGTATAAAATCAAGCACGTAGGCATGTGGATTTCTTCTACAAACATTTGTGAAGCAATAGGTTCTCAGTATCTCAGTGAATTCCAGTATGGTACCATGATAGGGTGCCCTCTCACTGACTTGTTAATTACAACTCAACAGCATCATCTTAACTGCTGTTGAGTTATCAGTTCATTACTGAGATAAACACGGGCCGCGTGGGCTGAATTGTAGACGGCAACGGTGACCACCCACTTTAAGGGCTCTGGTTTCAGAAGCGAATTCCCTATTCATGTGACATTCAGAATGTCGTTACATAAAAAATTTTAAGCCTTGAACCAAACCTACAAGCTACATGGTGAATCATGAGCAAAAAAAGATTTGATGTGGATCAAAAAAATAAAATAAAAACTGAAAAAAGAAAAAGTTGAAGGTACAGGACCGTGTACATAGATGCTGTTGTTGGTTGCTCTTTTATTCAGAAGGGCTCATTGACTCATGAATGTTTGCTTGTTAGGCAAATGTGTAAACAGTATGCCTCCCATAATGCCTTAACCTCTTAAGACCCGAACTCTTTCATGGCATGCATTTTAAATTTTTCTTTGCTATTTGGGTTGATTGGGACCTGAAGAATATAAAAACAAAGATTTATCAGATATTCTTTTACCTAATTTTTGTTTCATAGACAAATGAGATCCATGTATGAGATTTTGCTCTCACTAACTGACCTGATCTTGATAGGTTTAAACATCTCCATGGTAACAGTAAAATCCACCAAGCAGAGGCATTGCCGTTTCAAGACAGGATTATGGGCAGAGTAGTTTTTTCCTTGGTATTGCAAGTAAAATGCTTTTTTGGTAAAGCAAGGTTGAAATAATACAGATGTTTTCTACAGGAGCACATACCATCATTTCACAACCTTTCATGTTAAGTTTACATTATATGGTTACATTATGGCTCATAACCAAAATTTCTATGGAGAATATGAATGGGACTTTTGCATCCAGAACCTCAGTGTTGCACTATATACATTGTTTATACATACAAATGCATGTATATTCTTTTAAGAGATTACATGAGAAAGCACATGGTCTATGGTTTGTTCGCCACAATTTTTATTTCAATAATTGCAATAAAAAAAGAACTGTTGAAAACTCATAGCTGTGATTGGTGAAAACACAAACACAGACCTGAACAGACAGGCCAGCTAACCTGTCTGAATCCATTTTGAACTGATAAGTACAATACTTGTCAAGTCCTGTAGCTTCAAAGAAAGTGCGCCACAAAAATGTTTTTTGGATTCATTTAATTCTTAGAGATAAATATTTTAGGCAACTTGTGCTTTTTATTTAATACTAAAATTTAAACCGTTAACCGTTAACCACTACAGCTCCATGAAGCCATGGAGCTGTAGTGTTTGCATAAGAAGTGATAAAGCATTAAAGAGAGGTTTGTAAAATCAGGCAGAAACAGTCCCAAAGTAGCTGCTTAAAAGCATGGAGTTTAAATTTTTAGTTTCATTATAAATTAATGTCACTATATCAAGAAGCGTAGGTTATTTTTGATGAGCACCAGCCGGTCAATTGTGGGCCATTTTACATGTTATTCCCTTAGACTGCTGAAACGTGGTGGTCCAAAATTGGCTTCCAACTCTGGACGTAACACAGAGGGCTCATTAAAAACCCAGTGCACAACCAGTTCCTTTGTATCACTCTCTAAATATGCTGAGTAATTCTGCAATATCATCCAGTTTTCTTCCAATTACTGCATGGCTAAATTTAGAAAAACCAAGGTTTCCCTCTGTCAGCACAAGCTCAGCTCTTTATTTGCACTCTTAACTTCTGGAAGTTTTGTGAATTCATTAAGCTGCGTGCGACACGTTTAACAGCACAGATGATCCACCGTGAAGCCTGACAACAGCTCTGTGTGAAGTCATGCCAGTTATCCAGCAACTGTTTTCCCTCAGCCTCCAAAACCACACTGGCCTTCATCTACTATACCTGCACAAACTCCCACAGGGACTTTTCTCTAATTATCTGTGCTCTATTGCTCTGCCTCCCCTACTCCCTCTTCTTCAACTACAACTACCTCTTCCACTGTTTCTGCTTTGTTCTCCGGCTCTTTTCGCCTTTATGACCTCAGTCTGAGTGCTTCAGTGTTCATCAGCTCAGGGAGATATCTTCCCCATCTGCCACTCTGTTCTTCACTCGCTTACCTTTCAAGAAGCGGATGACTTTCCCCCACTTTCCCGCATCAAACGGGTGAAGCTTTTCAAGGCCCATAAAAGTGATGTTGTAGTCTGGGTGGTACACAATAGGCAGACATGTTCGAGGGATGCTGGCATACAAATCAGTGCGGTGGCAGCTGAAAGAGGAAAGTCAAAAGTGTGTATTTCATTTACATGCAGTGATTTCCCCAGTGCGTTAATAAGGGCTATTGAAAGTGTCATGCTGTTTGTTTGTACTCCTTACCGCCTCTTCTCCTCGTTATCTTCTTTGTGAGACATGTTTTTCAGGCATTGCTTCTTTCATCTAATTGGAAAAAAAAGGAATGAGATAAAAAATTTCATAAACTTGTGACTGCCGTAAATATGCACAGGAAGTCTCAGGACACAATTCATCTATTTTAAAAGAAGACTAAGAGCTTGAAATGCCTTCAAAATGTCTTTGTGTCACACTGTAACAAACTGTCGTCATTAGTACACAAACGGTACACGAGGACCTAAGCTTTAGCTCGTCAAAAAAAGGGGGCTCGTGTCTCGCGCATGCGCAGTGATTTGTATACATATTAGAAAGACGCAACGGGACAAGGAAATGTTCCTGCCGTAAACACAGCCGCCAAACCTGTTTGAGTGCTGGCCGTTTTCAACGATAAACACGAATCATTTTTATGTTTGTTTGTTTTCATCGCGGAGGACAAAAACACCACCAGAGACGCTGTATATGGCATAGCAGCCTGGAACCGTTTCAGAGAACAGAAACTAGCAACAACCCGATGTGACTCACCTGCTGCTGTTCTGTGGAATAACGCAGGCCACCAAACAGCAGCTGGATGTAAAGAGACGGAGACTCTCTGTCCCTGATGACGGTGTTTAAGCGGGGCTGTTGTCAGAATTGAGTGAACGAAACGAAAGAAAACGTTTTTCTTCAGTGTTTCTTGGACAGTTCGCTTAATTTCTGTTCCAGCTCCACGTACGTGCGTCGACTACGCGCGAGCTCCAAACCCGCGTAACTGACGTACAGTTACGCTGTTAGCGGAGATTTAAAGAAGAAACGTGTTCGTAGTGTGAGGGAGCTTCTCGGAGTATTATCTGCCTAATTGTCAGCTCAACTTAACGTTTTCACAAAGTGGCGTCGTAAACTTTGTTGTGCATTTTTCAGTGCGGATGATTTTGTTTTGCTTTTATTTTGAAAGGTAACCTTGTGTTGTGGTTGAGGTCCGTCTTTAAAGGCCCGTTTTTGAACTCAATGAAAGGGAAACAAACTTGTTTCCCTGCTGCGCTTATTTTTGTAATTATGGTTTTTTTTTTATTTGTTTCATTTAATTTTGATATATTTTGCAATGTCTCAACAATATCACATAAACATGGATAATGTGTTGAAAAATTTAAAAAAGTATCAAAGAAAGATGTAAAACCTTTAGCAGGTCCACTGAGATCTACAGTGAGCAGGGACACTTTATTGCCCTATTGTGTAATCTGTTTTGGAATTAGTGTTCTTTATATTTTTGTTAAATTCCCGAATGAATGTGAAAACTCTTCAAATAGCATACTGAGGCAGAACAAGTCTAAATACTAACTGTAGGCCTCTAACAGCAGTTTGATCCTAACAGCAGTGAATAGTGCACTTGGTGTTTTTTCCCAAGACTTGTACGTTCCTGTTGATAATATAAATGGAGATGAGATTTGAAGTACTCTTAAAGCCTTGGCAGGAAAGCTTTAGAAATAAATCAGGTGGCTCCTATTTCATCATCACTGTATAATACAAGTCCATCCAACCTTTTGAGACAATACTGCATCGTTATATAAAGGGTTTAACCACTGGAGCATTGATGAGACAGCATGATGATGAGTGTAGTGAATGCCAGGCACAGTGGCTTTATGACTAGAAGATAACAGAGACTTTGATTCTACACAACAGGGCTACTGATTTTTTTTTATTCATATTTTTTAGGCTGTGTGCCACAGAATGAATTTGAATTTGAATCTTCAATGAACTGGAGCTATTTTAAGTTTTGCTAGGAAGAAAAGTACACATATAATAGAAGAGAAGCAGCATAGGATTCAATTCAGGTATTAGGTGTATCAAGCTCATTTGATCCAGTTAATTTTCTTTGTATGTTGAATGATGTATACACAGAGCCCTTTTCACACATGCCTTCCAGCTATGAACAGTGCAGGACATTATTGCATATAGCTGACTAATATGCATTAAGTCATAGAGCATATGCTGTAACAGCCAGCTTCCTAATTAACTAACCTTTATACTAATTTCTTTTGCCATCCACAATTATTGTACTTTCACAGGCCACTCTAATGAGTATCTTTCCCAGTGGCATTTACAAAGTTTTACCTTGTCAAACTGTGCAACAAGGGAAGAAGAAAAACCAAATCCTTTCATTTCACAACCGCACCACGGGGTGTGCATTGCAACCATAGGGATCAATGACATTTTTATCTTATCTGAGCTCAGTGTGTGTGATAATGTGCAGTTCCTCGTAATAATTCCCCTGAAATGTTGCTGGTATGTCAGTGTTGCCACAGAGCAATCATGAGTTCACATACTCACAGTTTTCACCACTGCAATGGAGGTGGTGGCTGGCAGTGTTACCTGCAGTTGCAGTGAACTGTGATTCTGCCATTTGGCAGCTGAAGAGGCAGTGCAATCAAAAAGTATTTGGCCTCTTCCTGATGTCTTGTTTGTTGCATATTTGTCACGTTTCCATTTCATAATGCAAATCCAATGATCATTTACAAAGCAATCCAAGCCCACCTGGCCTTTGTGAAAAAGTAATTGCTCTTAAACTTAATTGCTGGTTGTGCACAAGAACTGCAGACAAGCTGTTGCAGTAACTGACTCTTTCACATCTTCACTTTGATTAGGTCACTCCAAAACCTTCATGTAGTTTCATGTGTTTTGTTTGTGACCCATCCATAGCTGAACTTGCTGCTGTGTTTCATATCTTTGTCCTGCTGCGTAACTCAAGTGAGTTTGTGCTTCAGGGCCTGAATTGATGAACTGATGAGCATTCTCCTTCAGGATTTTCTGGTGTGGGGCAGAGTTCATGGTTCCATCATTTACAGCAAGTCGTTCAGGTCCTGAAGCAGCAAAGCAGACCCAGACCATCACACTAACACTACCATGACTGATTGCTGGTATGATGTTCTTTTTATGAAATGATGTTTTTAGTTTGATGTAACGGGATTCAAACCTTTAGGAAAGCTCAGCTTTTGTCTGCTAGCTCACAGAATGTTTTGGTCAGTGGTGGTTTTCGCGTGGGAACTCTCGCATGAATACAAGTTTTGCAAACTCTCTTTCTTGTTGTTGAATCATAAACACTGAGCCTGCAGTTCTTCACATGTTGTTCTGGGTTGTTTTGTTAACACGTGGATGAGTTGTCAATGCTAACTCTCACTGTGGTTCACTGCAGTGTCAAAGCCTTAGAAATAGCTTTGTAACCCTTTCCAGTTTGATGAATGTCAGTGGCTTTGTTTCTGTTCTGTTCTTTAGCTTCATTAGATTGAGACACAGTGTGTTGCTTTATGAGATCTTTCAGCCTACTTCAGTTTGTCAGACATCTTTTATCTTAGTGATTTCTAATTCAGCAGCTCTGCCAGTAATCAGGTCTGAATGTAGTACAGTTGAAATCAGCTTTCCAAAAAATGTGGCTGATCGCAGTTAATTCATGATTTTACTTTTTCACATAGGTAGTGAAAAAGGTAGTTCTGGATCGCTGTCCCCCCTTAATACATGAAATCGTCATTTATAAACTTAAAAAAAAACATTTAAAAATTCACCTTCATCTGATATTAAAACATCTTTGATGATGTGAAACGTGTGACAAATGTGCAAAAACCTAAGAAATCAGGAATGAGTCAAATTGTATGTGAATACCTGTGAACCAATACAGAGATTTAGAGATAGAGATTTTTTGCTTCTGATGCAAGGAGAGCTGTGGTCCCTCTCCTGGGTCAGCAGTCTGAAAACGTTCAGTCACACACGCTTGTGATACTCGAGTACAATTACCTTATTGTGCCTGTGGTGTATTTTTAGTTCATGTTTATTCCCTTTAGTGGATATAGTGACGTTTATACACAATCTCTAGAGACATGTTTCAGTTATCTCTCTGCAAACATGGCTAGAACAGAGATTTTATCTTCTATGTCGAACCTGACGGCAAAATGTGAACAAACATTGAAACTGTTTTAAGCAGAAAAGACATCTCTTCAGACTGTCCCAGAAAATAAGAAATATTCATCACATTATTGCAAAGAAGGAATTAAGTGCATGTTTTTTTGTAGTTCTTGATGTGTGATGGTGGAGTAGGAGCTGTTCAGAGTGTTATTGCAAGAGCCTGCTGTTTGCATACAGAGTCACTGGTTAAACCCAGAAATAGTTATGCTGAATATCTGAATTGACAGATATACAGCAATCTCTTTAAACCTTTTTTTATATATCAGCTACCACAATTTCAAGGAGTGAGAGAAGAAGAGCAAGGTCAGCAGGGATTAAATCCAGGACACACTGGATCTTCTCATGTTTGTTTATATTTTTGAAAATGCAACTTAATATATGCATGCAGTTTCACGATAAGATAAATATACATTTCAGACCATTAAATGTGTATGCGGACCTAATTTAAAGGTATTTTTCACATTCAGTATGGTTTACACATTAACATCTGTGAATGACCTTTCCTTGTCATTTCCTATTCTGTGATATGAAAATGCATTTTGTTTTTTGTGAGCAGAGCTGGACTCTGAACACATAAACATCAGCATGGCAATTTGTCTGATGTTTCCCTGACTTAAATTCAAGTATATGCTGCTTACCCCGAACCTATTCTCATCCTTCTTCTACCACCACACCTCTCCTTCCCACCTCAGCTACAGCTTTCCTTTCCTTCATGTATTCCTTCATTTTAATTCATATAAAATAAACACATTTTTGTGAAATAAACATAATATACTTTGTCATTATACTGGAAGTACTGAATGTGGAGTTCGCAGGTTAGAGTTCTGCATCCCTTTTATATACAACAATAGTCAAAGGTCTACACACACACTGACAAAATACTGAACCAAAACCCTGAATCTTGAATTCATGTAGCACTTCCTTTGCTGTATTTCAACCATGCCAGCCTAATTCAGAAAAGTGCCTTCAGTTGATGTTGAAAATGCATCTCACACATGACATAAACTGTATTCTGAGGTAAAGTTTACAGCTCATTTACATGACTGGTAATCCTTGGATTACCTAATCTGCATCTTTTTACCCAACTGACCTTCATGGCTTAAATGCCCCCCCCTCCTTTTTTTTCTCCTTCATAATATAAATTAGATCAGTAGAAAAGGGCTCTAAACAAATAGTCTTTGACAAAACACAACTACCTCCAACACATTAAGAAGGCAGAATATCCATCCAGTTAAGATGGACAAAAGTCCATCTGTTACCTGGAAGCCATTCAAGTGGATGACCACCTGAATCTGTTTGACATCAGAAATCAGGTTTTAAAAACAGTTACAGCTTGGCTATAATCGTACCTGCCTGTCTCCTCTAATGAAGTAGAATGTCTAAAGGCATTTCCAGCACACTTGACTGCTTTACATAATCATTATGGGCTTGGTAAAAAATTATATGAGAATGGGTGAAAATATCCTGTCCATGTGTGAGATAATTGCTCCTTCTGGCTTTGGTTGTGCAGATGGTAACGGTGTGTTTTGATCCAAGAATACCTCCCTGCAGACTTTGAGACGCTCCTTTCTCATTCATTTCCAAAACAGCCCTGAGTGACACGTGCAACCATATGGAGCGACTGCAAGCTCACACATACAGGAAGATCTATGACGTCATCGTATAGATGCTACTGTTACATTATTGCTTTGCATGTGCCATCAGCATCTCTGCGTCACATTTATTTTTTCATTTTGGCTAGAAGGGGTGGCTGTAAAATCAGCTTTGACAGTTGCCATGGTAACCCATAGTGCTCAGTATTGTTGGCGAGGTGTTTATTGCCCAAAACAGGCTGTCTAATTCATGTCAGATCTGGGATTCAGACTGTCAATCACTTCTACTGAGGCAG